TCTCTAAACTCCAGCCATAGGCTTTATTTATCCTAACCTGATTGTTTGGGTTTGAGGATTCTGTTGCTCCTGGAGTGAAGGAAATTGCTCCCTTGCCCGCTGATTCTGAAACGGAAAATTGTTTTTGGAAATTATAAAAAAAACAGCCCTTCAGCGCTTCTCCTGTCTTTTTCTTTGTTTGTAAAAGATGGGTGTTTTCATTGCCCTGTCAGGGCAAGCCAACCTAGGCGAGTCTTTCGTCGAGAGGAGGGGGGAGAAACTTGAATTTGAATTGTTGAAAAGCTGGGGGAGAGATAAGTTTATCAGTCCAGTACAGATTTTTGGGTGTGGTTTGTACTGCATGCATATAAGCATGTTGGTGTAGATTGAAGATTGGCAGGATAGTAGTTCAATTAGTGAGCAAGGAAGTGTGTTTGTTCAAAGATAAACCCTTAAGATAAGTACATTAAAGGAGAGGTGGATTAATGGATTTATTTCTTAGACTTACACTAACCTTTGAATCTGCTCAGTTCTCTTTAACACATAAAGTTGCTCTTTTATTTGGAATCTCATTGCTGAGTTATGCTCCTGCTCATATCCTTGCCTTTGCCACTGCAATGTGTTCTTTGTATGAGCACACACAAAAGAAGGAAACTTGTTCAGTTTGAGATAGATCAGTACTGTTGCACTCTGGAAACAATTACCAGGGAATAATCTTCACATACTTTTATCTCACCACCAGCTCAGATGATTAGGATATCCATGGTACGCAGGCTAACCTCAAATATGCACACATACTTGCATTTTTACTGTGACTGTTATACAATACGAAGCAACGAGTCCTCTTGTGCTTTCTTAGTTTGTTCCCCAAGCATACACCTGAAATTTGACTCCTGAGTGATGATTATTAACCCCTGAAAACTTGAGGGCGGGACCACCCAGGATCAAAATGACCTGTCATAAACAAAAACTGTAAAATATTTATGTGTCACTCTTCTAAGACATAATATATGTGCACTGATATTGCATTGAACTATTAGAGTGGGAGTGCTTGAGCTGGAAACACTGTTTTAAGCTGGATTACAATCTTCCTTCACCCCTTTTGTCCTCCATTCATTTCCCCATGTGGCCTTTACTTGATACAACAGATGGAAGAATTACCCCAGCTGTCCTCTCATCTCATCGAGGAGATTCTTTCCCAGGGTGGAAACACTGTCATCCCTTTTTCTCTCTACTGTCCCCCACCCCGGGCTTCCTTCCCTTCTCCTTTTATCGGTGTCAAGTGATTACCCAAAGGGGAAACTGAACTGAGCACCAATATGCATCAGGTAAGACAGGTCAGGAGTCTGGCCAAAAACGTGTCTCCTCCTGCACCTGCCCTCTTCTTCCATCTGTCTGTCCTGCTCAACTCCTGCGTCGTGGCATCATCTCTAACCACACTCCACAGCCTTTTGCCAGAAAGTGAAAATGAGGAATTTCTCTGCTGAAATCAATTAAATCTCGCCCCCAAATTTTATCCAAATCAGGTAAAAACTCCATGTTTTTCTTGCTCTTCTAAAAGCACCTTTTGAATGTCTCCTTTTACGCATTTTTGTGGTCCTGGTTTGCTCCCAATTTAATGTGGTTTTTGTCCTGTTCACCTTCTTTTCTTTCCGTTCATTAACTGTTTCTGCTTTGCTTGATGCTTCCCCTGTAGGTGCAGCTTGGTGAATGCCAAGGTTGACCATGTCACATGCAAGAAATATGTGCTTTTTGAATAGTCATTAAAAAACTTGTGCTGATGTTGTATGGTAAACAATCTTTGGTAATTTATTCATACAATGTGATTCCAGTTAAAATGAAAATTTTCTCTGTAAAATCAGCAAATACTTGTCTTATGCTTAGCAAGATGGATGTCCGTTGGATATATACTGCCATTAAATGGTTTAGTTGGATCCTCGGCATGTGGCGCCGTGATAAAACAATAAAACTTGACTTGTAAGAAGTATCACGGTTTACCAAGGCTATGTTGACACTGCAGGCAAATGCAATTGATACTTGAAGATCTGCAATGACTTTTGACACGTGATTCTGTGAGTCTATTTTATATTTAGCAACTAATAAACAGTGCATTTGGTTTAAAATGAATGCAAACACATTTCAGGGATGAAACATAAAGGAATACATCAGAATATTAGGTTGAAAAGAGAAGCTTATACTATTGATGCAGTTACCATAATACAATGTTTTACTCAGGAGGTGAACTTACTGAAATAAACAGTCATCTTGCCACTTGAAACTTTATCCCAACCAAGCTCACAAACAGCTCCACCCTTTAACACACTCCAACCATTCACACAACCCTCTTAGGGAACATGCATGCTTCATGTACCCCCAAAACCAACCCACTCCACCCTAAACACACCACCTCTGAGTCAAACAGACCCCCATAGGTTGACGCATAATGGGTCTATGTTTGGCGACACCGGGTGCGGTGCAGGGTGGGGTGTGACACCATCCTGCCTTTTGCTGCTTATTTTTGGGCCTTTTTTTTTCTTTTAATGAACATCAATGGCAAAGTGGGGTTTTTGCTGAGGTTTTCCAGTCAGTAAACTACCTCTGCTTGTTTTTATACTTACTAATGGAAAGCAAAGGAGAAAAGTGCAGTAAAAAAAAAAACAGAAACTTATGACAACCAGGTGCTTTTTCCTTTTTCTTTGGAATGTTTCACCTTATAAAAGCACACGAGTGGGAGGGAGTTTTTGTACCAAGCCGAAGTGAATGGTTTTGGGGATTTTTCAAAGGGTGTGTGTGCTGACCAAAGGGTATGAGTGAACTAAATGTGTGTTTGTGTGAGCACTTTAAAGCTGAGATTATTAAGGAGTCAGAGGCTGAATTCTTCAACACCACTGTAGCATAACCGTGAATTGGAGAGGCGGAGGCTTTTTTTTTTTTTCTGTGTATGTGTGTAACCCCACCAACCAATTTTTTGCCCCACTAAGCTTGCAGACAACCACCACTTATGTTGTAGGGTGTGATCACACAGAAACACACACCTGTTGGGTGAATGAATGGCAGGTCAGACTGCCACACAGGGCTCCTATTGATGACATCATCGCCGAGCTTCTGGTCACTCCACCCGTTTCATGTTCACAGAGCTATTCAGTTTGCGTCTACTGTGGCTCTTTCACAGACGTGACGCCTGCTGCTTATTTTTTAAGATTATTCAATTTACGTGGCTCCACTCGTGAATTAACGTGTTTTCATTCGAGATTCGGTTGATTTTGACAGCTCAGCCAACAATGGTGATGTTTATGGCTTTTCGTCAGCACAGCACAGAGGACCGTACTTTATTCCGTCAACACGTGCTCATTCAGGTTCCCAGTCTTAAGGTTGCAAACGTTGCCAAAAGAACGTAAATTAAATACACTGTAAATTTTGCCGTAATAACACCATCCAAACAGCAGGTCCCATTAAATGTAACCATTAAACGTAATAGACATTATCCAAACACGTCCTTGCAGAGATGTTGTCTGAAGTTCTCATGTAAGGGAAAGTTGAACTCAGCCCGACTTTGGTTCTAATGATTTGTAGATTATATAGTCTGGGGACGTTTATAACTCCTTCTGAGCAAAAACACGACTGAGAAAAGTGCAGCAGGACAGGACTGCCAGCTTTTGATAACTGGCTGGAACATTTGTGGTGATTGAAGGAATGAATCAGTGGGTGTTGCTTCAATAACAGAGCCATTAATAAATCAGTACCAACTGAAACAGCTTAAAAATAACTAAAAGTTGGACAAATCTTGATATTTTTCAGCCTTTTTCACTTCTAATGTTGAATTTTCTGATCTATTGAAAATGATCTGATCTTAACTCAGCCACTGGTTTAATCCCTAGTTGACCAAATCAGAGACTAAAAGCAACATGTTTTTCAAGCTCCAAAAAGGTCCAACGATCACACCACTAATTAGGCCCTGCTTTCCATTTGCTTTGCTGGTACTTATAACACACTTCTTTGTTTCCTTGCCAAAGTTAAGGAAAATCTTCCAAAACTCACTTATGGACAATCCTTGTTGGTGAGAATTTATTAATTTTCCTGGCAAATGATTGACAAATAGGTTTTATTGTTTAGAAGTTGATGTTTATGACACATCTTGATGCAAACAAACCATAGCAATTTTCAAAAACAGGTGCCACAAAATGCAGCGTCAAGGCTTACTGGTCATTCGATGCGACAAGGTTGGGCGATATTGTCAAAAAATTAATCACGAGTAATTGTGGTATTACAACAATTAATAGATGACAATTGCACTTGCATGTTTTTAACTCTGAATCAGTTACCCAGCCTGTGTTCTAAATTATACTTAGACATCATTGGTCAAAAACACTTCTTCATTTTAACAGTTTAAAATAGTCAGCTGTGAACTGAAACTCGCCTTTTCCCCAATGTTGAGTGGCAGCAAATCTTTAGTAACACAATTTGCCACAGGCTCACATGCGTGCTCGATAGTGAGAGTGAGTTGCACATTAAGTTACATCATCACGTGGCACCAATTGTTGTAATTACATTAATCGTTGATAGTATTTTTGACAATTTGCACACTATAAGATTTTGCCCAACCTTAGTGACACTCAACCAACAGAATATGTGTATATTTTGCATATGACTTCTATTAGTCATAGCCCAGTGAGACACCATTGTTGAGAAGGGTTTTCATGTTACTGTTTGTAACTTGAACTTTTTGGTACAGCACATAGGATAGCACAAAGTTTGGTATAAAGTGGTAAGTTTTAAAATGTAAAGAAAATATTAAAAAGTGGATAGAAATCAATGGCAGAAGAGATGCTTCCAAATATACACTTTTCCTGACTTTCCTCGATCTCATCTACTGATCCTACCCCACCCCTCTCTGTGCAGCAGCTACCCCACCCCATCCTGCTCACACCCCTCCTTCCTTACAGCAGCCAAACGCAAGACACTTGCTTTTTTGTATGAAAAGGGGGTAAGCCCAATGAACAATCCTGCCTGTCTTTCCCAAAATAAGCCAGTGGTACAGGGATCACTGTGTAAGCCAGCGAGACGAGCGGAGAGGTGCACAGCCTCTGGTTATAAGTCTTGGGAGTTGGGACCTTCAGCTCCAAAGCCACTGCCCCGCCACACTCCTGCCTGACTAACCTGAGTGACGGACGGAGTTGCCTCCACTCCCTCTCTGTCTCTCCCTCCTTCTTTCCATCCCGGAGAGTGAAAGTGCATAGTTTGGGAAGGTGTTTCTCAGACCTGCGCCTGGACAGCTTGAAAAACAGCAAAGAGAGGAGAGCTCTCTTTTCTGTCCCTTTTTGGGCTCACCATCCCCTTCCAAGGAGCACGTGAATGGACTTTTAAAAGTTTTATTTTTTTTATTTTTGCTGAAAACAGAAATAGCAAAATTGAGACAAGAGCTTGCTCCACCTGCAGCTGATCATACCTTATTTTGACTTGTGATTTAGTTTTAATTTTTGGATTTTTTGGATTTCCCAGCACTTGTTAGCAGCACTGGACCAGTTCAAGGAGGCAGTTTTTTGCCCCGGAGGATACATCTCCTCCTTTTTGGCTGCATATTCACTGAACATCTGAAACACTCACATCTCATGGGAGACTCACTTGGTTGAAACAAGGAGGGAGGTAGAAGAGACAGCCACCTGAAGCGTACACCTACAGCTCCCCTTTACTTAGTGCAACCCCCCCCCCTCCAGGAGAGAAAGGTAAGGACATTTATTATTATTATTTTATTTTATTTTTGTCTTCATCTTTCCTCTGGCTCTGCTAGCATCCTCATTTCCTGTCATTTCTTCATTTTATCACATGTGCCTGAGGTGACTTTGGCCAAATAAAACAGAAGGAGAGAACAGGAAAGGGGAAAGAATGTATTAAAAGAAAAACAGATTCTCAGTCATGAGACCTGTGTAATTCTCTTCGCTCCTAAGCTTGTGTGCAAAGTGAAAACTTGCAGATTAAAAAGAACAAGTGCAGTTTGTTCACCAAACTCCTTTATACAAATCTTTTTTAGTCTTTCCTTCATTTCAATCATTTAACTCATCTAGAAACTGATGGGATTGAGTATTTATTTGGGGTGGGAGGGAGAATAAATTCCATCTTCTKACTGTGTTGCTGCTTTCATACACACATATATAGTTTTAGGTGAAGATGTTGAAATGGGCGTGGCATGTTTCATAATTGCGAATCATCATAGATCAGTGAGGCAGCAGGTTGAGTTACAACTACTGATGCAACATAAATGTTCTCCATTTGGACCACTCTCGTGTGTGTTATGCAATGCAATCTGGCGTTCACTTTGTTTTATTTGACATATTTGCTAATCATATTTCTAAGGAGAAAAACATGTAAAAACGCTCGATTTCCTTTTTCTCATTCTTTTGTTGCTTAACTCGGTCCATTCGCTGTAGCGCCTCTGGCAAGCGATGCTGCATTCCTTCTGTAACAGCATCCCCTCATCTGAAACCCAGAGAGGACAGATACAGTAGTGAAGACTCTCAGTTTTCAGGTGTTCCCACGTGGCAAACCAACAAATAAGACAAAAAAATAGAGAGAAATGAGGGGGGAAAAAAGGAACAAGAACACACGTGATGCTTAGAACACATCCAAAATATGGAGCTGATACGACATGATCGGTGATTAGAGTTCCATCATTTTGTCAACAGAAGAGGAGAGTGCAAAAGACAGACGTCTGGACTCCTAAAATCCAAAAACATTTGGCAGCTTCCCTGTAATTCACTGGCTTGCGGTTTTAGAAACTGACTCCATGTGCAGATGTGTTTTGTATTGGTCCGTGCACAGCACCTCATGCATGTCCTTAGCTGACTGAGCTTCTGCTGGTATTAAAGTGGTTACTGCAAACTGGAACGGCAGGATGCACACTGAAGCATGAAATCTTTGTTCTGATGGAGMCGTACAACAGGAGTTAAGTTGAATTAAAACTCATTTTGCTCCAAATGCACAACTTTTAGCTCAACAGATGCACAACAAATGCCTTTTTTAGGCATGTTCTTATTTTGACTCTACAACTGCTGTGTGGGTGAAGTGAGGTTTCCCTGTAGCCATGACAAACACAGATTAGCATCCTCCTCTGTATGGCAGGTGGCCAGCAATTGACTGGCTTGTGGTTACGCGCGACTCAAGTGCCCACATTGTTTAGCCAGACACACCAGTTTCCTGCCCATTCAGGCCTCCGATACCCGAAGTGAAAGTGTGGCCAAACAAGTACAAACAAAAGTCACGGTACACTGTTAAAAACAACCTATAGAATTTAACCAAAAAAATTGGGGTAACAATTTGCAACCAATTTACTTGGGTAAATTTAACCAAAAACTATTAGTAAAATTTAACCAAAACTATTAGTAAAATTTAACCAAAACCTATTAGTAAAATTTAACCAAAAACTATTAGTAAAATTTAACCAAAACTATTAGTAAAATTTAACCAAAACCTATTAGTAAAATTTAACCAAAAACT